TCTAACCTTGTGTCCTTCATCTGAAGGATGAGAACATTCGAATGAAAACCAGTGTCTTTTTGGGGAGAGTAATGGGCCCACTTAGGAGGCCTCCACTCGTATGGATTTTATATCCATCCACACTAACCATTCACCATAACTGGTAAGGTGTAGGGGTGCACCAAAAAAATTGTTTTACATCAGAATAGTGATACTCATTTACAAAGATTCAGAATCAATTTAAAATGTCCCAAAATCGATTTTTAAACATAAAAAAAAATAATAAATAAAGAAAGAAAATCCAAAGGTTGTCAACCTCCATTTTATAACCACTTGAGATGTCCTGACGTCACATGCAGCCAGTTTTGGAAGGTATTCATGCACAGAAAGCACCAAAACAGGGGAAACTACAAAACTGGAGGAAAGAGAGATTCAACTGACCTCCGTCTTTATTGAATGCAAAGACTTGGGCTCCTTTTCGTTTTTTACTGAATGAGTCTGAGTTTGACGTGAGCTTCACTGTGTGCAAAATTTGCAAAATGAAAATGAAGCACTTTAGGAACACGACAAATGGGCTCACGTTGAGTTTCGAATGAAAAATCGATTTTGAATCGGATTGTGAAAAAGTAAAAGATTCCCACCCCTAGTAAGGTGTCATTGGTAACTACTCAGTAGTTACTATTTGGTGTCTTCAGTAACTACTCAGTAACTGCTCAGTAGTCCCTGAGTATCCTGATGCATCTCAGTAATCCAGGTAAAAAATCAAAAGGAAAAAAATTGTATAGGTCCTCTGGACGGGTTCTTCTTTAATGAAACGTTTCGTCTCTCTTCCAAGAGACTTCTTCAGTCTGAGAGTTTCAGGCAAAATTCAGGCTTTTRAGTCCTGCCTCCAGGTGACTCATACTCACATCACATGACTATGGTTCACAGGTGACTGATACTCACATCACATGGCCATGGTTCACAGGTGACTGATACTCACATCACATGGCTATCGTTCACCCTAATTTATACCTATTGTTAACAGGGGGTGGAGTGATACTGCCAATGGCAGCACTGTAGGAGTATGAGTCACCTGTGAACCATAGCCATGTGATGTGAGTATCAGTCACCTGGAGGCAGGACTTAAAAGCCTGAATTTTGCCTGAAACTCTCAGACTGAAGAAGTCTCTTGGAAGAGAGACGAAACGTTTCATTAAAGAAGAACCCGTCCAGAGGACCTATACAATTTTTTTCCTTTAGTCCCTGAGTAGTTCCTCAGTTGTTAAGTTTTTTTTGTGTACCTTATTGTAAAGTGTTGTTTTTCGAAAGGCTATATAGTTTAATCAAAATTATTGGTCATTTAGATTCAAAGGTCAAAAGGTTCAAAATAACTTATGCACTCTAACATTTTACATTATGTGATTTTTAGACTTTAACTCAATCACAAAATGTTAAAACCTCATTCTGCATCTGCTTAAAGCATAAAGGGACTGTAGAACAGAAACCCCTGCAGACTTGTGCTTAGTGTGTTTATGGACACACCCACTTCTTACAGTCTGTTTCTTATAAAGGATATCAAACAGTGAATGCTGCCTGAGCTACAGAGCGCCTGTTTCCGACACTTCCATGGCACGTGCTTGCTGCTGTGTTCAAAGAGGACGAAGATAACAGCTGTGCTGTCTTTGGAAACTGATGGCCAAGTTACTGTATCATTTCTGAAGCTCTAAAAACTTAATTTCTAATTGTTGTTTCCCATCGCATTTTACCTCTCAGAATGCTTCGCTGATCTTGTTCATTACATTTATTTATATTTAAGACCATGTTAGAAGAGATAAGAGACCACAAGATTTGAATCGCAGTCATTGATTTAAATTGTAATTGCAAAAACTCAAACACTCAGCAAAGCAGAGAAGGGGCCTAAAACAACAAGCTTTGGTTGGCACAATACAATATTATGATGGCATGGATGGTCAGTTTAGCCAATGTTGTGATTGTGACAAAGGATGGAGCACATGTGATAAGAACAGAAGAAAAATATTTTCAGGAAGGCAAGATCATTTTTTTGTGTCTCAGTTCCTGCTGAAATGCACAGATAGCACCATCTATAAACAAACATGTCGAGTGATGCAGCCAAACTCACGGGAGCAGGAGGAGAGACATATTAATATTTTTTTGTTGTTAGTAATGTCAGGACRTTTCAGGTGGGATGTGGGTGTTTGATTTGACATTTTACAGATCGTTTAGTGCTGATAAACTCATTTTTTGCTCATCAGGTTTATAAAGGAAAAAAAATAAACTAACAAACAGTAAAACCTACCGTGGAGTCCATAAATTGCTATTCCATGATTTACACATTTGTTTATTGTGATCATAATGAAAGAGTCCAATCACTTAAATAAGCGGCTTGAGAGAGATAATTTTATTTGTCATTGCACCATTAAGCACAATGAAAATACAGCAAGTAAAATGTTAAATAATAAAGAGTTTTGGATTTTAACCACAGTTTGGGAAACCCTATTATGCAGAAATGAAGCCTTGAGAAGGGTCACTGGTTCATGGATGACAACAGGAAGGAAGCTATATGGGTCAGGCATATATTGGCCCTCTGTGGATGAAGAAGTTTGGGAGCCTTGTAACAAGTCAGTCATCAGATCCTACTTGACCACAATGCCACAGGGATCACACAAACGACTGTTCAGCAAATACCTAAACTGTAAAAAGTGTCACAACAGAAACAAACTGTGATAATTCATTTGAAGCCAACCATAGCTCTTTGGCGACAGCTCTGTGTTAGGAGTGCCATTTATCATCTGGATGTCGAGTTTCTCCGTCTGTCCTCACAGATCGAACCATCTCCCCGCAGTGCAAAACCTAAGTGTGTCTGTTGATGATTACACATGCCACACATTTACTGTACACACAGCATCAGATAAGACATTCACATTAAACTACTACTTTTGTTTCTCCTCCCTCTTCCTCTCGCTTCCTCCCAGCCAACAGTTGAATAATGAAAGCAAGATGTGTTTCTTTTTTTATTATTTCATGACAGAGCGCATAGCAGCACAACTTAATTCAGTATTATGTATCACCTCATTGTGCAATGGTCTACAAACTCTTAACTGTAAAGTCTTTCTTAAATGTGTGAGAAAAGAATATGTCAGTAAAAAGATTATGTGCAGACATTTTGTGGAAAGGCACTTTGCAAGCAYGTACCTCCCTGATAGAGGCAGGGGGAAGTGGCAGCTGAATTTTGTGAACCTCTGGTGGACTGAAATGGATGTTTGCATGGAACATGAGAAAACAAGGAGTTTCTGTGCCTGTGGGCATCTCTGTGTATGTGTACTGTAGAACGCATGGTTTCCACTACAGGAGGTGAGTATTACTACCAGACTCCACACCTGACCTTCATTTTTCAATTTGTAAGCCAATCTTTTTTTTACAATTGGGCACCAAATTTAGGCATAAACATACAAGATATTCATCTTGTATACATCAGAACCCTTGAACATCAGTGTCTCTGGCCTGACCTGTCTGCCTTATTTAAGACTCTATCAGCAGAAACCCACCCAGACAAAAAGAGGAAAAATAAAATCTGACTTGGACTGCTACTGCTCCTTTTCCTGGCAGACGTTTGCTCTCATCAAGACCAATTCTTTTTTTTTTTAAGCACATTATGGACTTGTGTTTTTGTAGGAAGTTTGCAATGACAACATAGATTTTTTCATTACCAGAGGACATGGCTACCCTTCCAGACAATCTTTGCATGCCTAAACAAAAATGCTGTTCACGTCTTCCTTGAATACAACTGTTCAGTACAAATTACACACACACATATGCATGTATATACATATGTATATACAT